AAATAAGAAAACCGAGTCTGGAAGCTTTATGAACTTGGCACTATTTCACTTAGATCAGTAGTTCCCCAGCACCAGTCCATGGCCCAAGCTGCTGTGGAGTCAACTGAGCCACAGCCCAGACCAGCTGAATCACTGAGTCCTGGTGTTCAGGAATCTGAATTCTTTGTGCGTGTGTGGTGTGTGTGTGTGTGTGTGTGTGTGTGTGTGTGTGTTTAAACAGAGTCTCGCTCTGTCACCCAGGCTGGAGTGTAGTGGTGCAGTCACAGGTGCGTGCCACCCTGGCCGGCTAATTCTTGCGTTTTTAGTAAAGATGGGGTTTTACCATGTTGGCCAGGATAGTCTGAATCTCCTGACCTTGTGATGTGCCCGCCTCAGCCTCCCAGAGTGCTGGGGTTACAGGTGTGAGCCACCACTCCAGACCCAGGCATCTGAATTTTTGATGTCCCCTGATTCTGATGTGCTGCCAAATTGGTTTATTCTCTACTGTTCTCAACCCGAATAGCCAGCATCCTGACCCTGTGTATCCTGCACAGCAAACGGGAGCATGAAAGCAGCTCTGTTCAATCTTGCCTAGATCACAAAAGAACACAAGTAATGTTTCAGATGAAGAAAAATGAAACTTGTCACAAGATGGCACTACCCTTGCTTACCCTTAGGTGAGATGTGCAAGATTTCAGACCTAAGAGAGTACCAGACACCAAGGCAAAGAAAGAGTAATTCTGGCCGGGGTGAGTGGGAAGCATGTGCTGATTGATCTGAGTTCTCTTTCCCCAAGCCAATGCCCAGTGGAGACCCCCCCAAATCGGATTTGTGTGTGCCCTGCATGCGTTTCTTAGTTATCCTGTCCTGCAAACTTTTATTCTCAGAACGAATTTCTCAGTACTTTACAGTGAATCCTGTTGAAAGGAATGTAAAAGGAATCACAGGTGGAAATGAGCAGTGACCGCCAAGCAGCAGGTCCCCTCTGAGTACAGGCACGTTGCGGCCGCGTGCGGCGGCCTGGGCTCTGGTCTCATCACTTCCCTGATCCCACGAGCCATCAGCTTTTCATTTTGAAACTGTCTAGGCCACATCTGTCCACAGGTTTCAATTCTGTGCTTACTCTGAAATACTACAGACAACATCCTCAGCTTATTCTGCTTCTTATACCGATGGAACCTTCAAGAAAGATTCTTTCTCCTGTTGTTGGGATTATCACGGCTTTGCATAAGTTGCCCAGAAGTGTGTTCTCCTCCTACCCTCTAGGTCTCAGTGTGCAATGCTTTGTTCCAAAAACATTTGTTCTTTGTTTCACATGAGATGACTACAAAGTATTTTTAAAAGTTGGTTAAGTGCAGGAATAGAACAGCCAGTACCACATGTTCTCAGTTGTAAGTGGGAACGAAACAGTGGGTGCTCATGAACATAAAGATGGCAAAAACAGACACTGGGGTCTGCTGGAGGTGGAGGGGAGAGGGCTGGAGCTAACCATCGGGTGCTGTGCTCACTGCCTGGGTGATGGGGTCAGCCATAGCATCACACAATGTGTGCACATAACCTGCATGTATACGCCTGGATCTAAAGTAAACGTTGAAATTATTTTAAAAATAATATTCTTTAAATGTTGGTTAAAGTTGGTCTAAAGATTTTAGAGATAGGGACCAACCTTCTTAAAGAAAAGATCTTAAGTGACTTTTGCCTTGCCTGGCACGCCATCTGCTCATCCAGGCAAAGCAGTACAGACTTCATCCATTGAGCAGGTAAGATTGCTGGCTCCCCATCACGACTGCCATCGGGAAGATGGGAAGCTGGAAACACCACCCTTTTGTGGCACTAGTGTCATAATCATGATAAAATCAGGTTGTGATTCATGCCTGGAGTTGACTGTTTTCCAGAACTTCCCTAAATCATTTGAATGTTTGATTGGCGGTCACAAATGTTATTGTGTCCCCCAGATCTGCTTTGTAATTGGTGCTTTTGGAACAGATAAGCTTTGAGATGGAAACATAGGTTTGTTGGTTTGTATTATATTTTTTTCCTCTTGGCTGGAGAATCTCTGCTTATTGGAGCAGTAGCCCTATCCTGTACTCCCCACAGTGGCCACGCTCAGATTTCCAGTGGGCGCTAAAGAAAGAGTCGTGAGCTTTTATGACTGGACATCCCAAGGTCTTCGTTTAATTATGTCTTTTATTTCTGCAGCCTGTACAATTTTGAATTTTATTTTATGTTTAATGACTATTTATTTAGCATATAGAAAGCTTTGGAAGACAGGTGAAAAGGAAAGTCATACCATGGTCCCAGATAAATTATTAATGATAATTTTGGTATATTTCCTTCTAATCTTCTACTTAATCCATATTCACAAACATCCATTGTTCACCTGCTGTTTATAAGGCACCAAGAAAGAATCAGAAGTAATTGACAGCCATCCAAACACAGACTAACTGAGTTTTCAGGGAAAACTCATTAAATGACCCTCATGGATAAAACTGAGTGCTAAGAAATTTGTCTCAAAACAACTTTAGAGATTCTTTGAATTTGGTTAGGGAGGGGTGAAGGAAGTGGGTCACCAAAAAAAAAGTTTATTTCTACCTCAAATCTGTAAAATGCTTAAGAAAATGCGTAAATAAATATAGAAAAAAATGAGAAACTGAGGAATCCTAAATGACATTGTGACAGTTTGGTATCCTGGGATTGGGGACCGGACAGGTAATAAAGAGCATTAGAAAACCTTGGACAGACATTTTTCTTCTTGTTTTCACTTTTTGCCAAGGATCTAAAGGCAAGGAATTAATATGAAACAGTCAGGTTTTATTGTATAATTGCACACATTATTATCCCACGAACACTCCATTCACTCTGGATAATTGGAGTAGATGAGCTGTTGAGAACCCTGGAGTACACGCCGGGTGTGGATTGACTTGCCCAAGCGATTCTGCTCTCTTAATGTCTCTTACATGCATCGCTGCTGTGCCATTTCCTCAGCTGTGGGCCCGAAGTGCTCCTTGCCCCCGCCCGCAGCTGGACATCTGCTTGGTACAAGCCAGACGAACTACATCTTGAACCCTAGTGAGTGCTCGCAGGCCAGACCTACAGTGCTAACGGATACCCAAGTCTGCTTGTGGATAGCTCTCTTCTTTCACCCAAGTGGCTGCTGTGCCCGAAAGAGTTCACTAGGAAGTTTAGGAAGAGCAGGGGCCTTGAAGCTGCTTTGGTGTTTTCAGGAGGGGTGTGTATGGGTTAAAGACCAGACTCTTGAAGTGCTGAGCTGTAGACTTCACATGACACCCAGTAGAGACTGGCAGAGGTTGGCCTGTCCTCCTGGCCTCTTCCACCTTCCTTTGACGTCCCCACCTTGCTTCTGTCTGACCTCTGTAGCCAATATGAGCGTGAGAGCATGGCTTTGTAAAAAGCTGGAACCTCAGCCTACTGCTGCGGCCTTGGCTAGACTATTCCCAGAGCCTTAGCCCAGCTGCCTGGAACTACTGTGAGGCCTCAGTGTTGCCATAATAAAAGGTCTTTTAAACCACAAAGTGCTGGGGACAAAGGGTTCTTCGGATATTTTTAGATGACTTGGCTCCATCCTCTGACTACGCGGTCACCCCTCGCCAGGACGACAGCTTCTTACAGTGCCATCGACGGCTTTTGTAACTGCGTTTCTGTGCTCCCATGGTGTCCTTGAACCCTTATTCCTGACTTGGGTTTGTAGAAAAGTGGGAGAGGAGTTGGGCATAACCCAATTTTGGTTTTGCCTGTAAGAAATGTGCAGGTAAGCACTGGCTGAGGAAGTGGGAGAGGATGTGAGTCCAGAAGTGCTCAGATTGTCAGATAACTTGTAAAACTTGCAGAGAGCAGTCAGTATAGGGTGCATTTCCCTGGGAAAGCATTGTGAGACCCCAGAAGCTTGGGAGAGGGTATAAGCGGATAGAAGTTGGTTGAAGGAAACAAGAAAGAAATAGGAGAGAGGGGTTTGGAGAGACCGGGAGCATCCTTGTGCTGGCAAATTCGAATCTGTCCGGCATTGACGCCAGTCCACTGAGTGCAGAGACCTCAGTGACAGCAGGCTTGTGAAATCTGTGGCAGGAAACAGCTCTTTGCTTCGGGGGAGAAACAACTTTAACTGTGTGGAGGGGAACCACTAGGCCTGTGGAAGTGAGGTCAATTAATGTGATATTCATCTGAAACACCTTCCTGTTAGTACAAGTTAGGGAATATTAATTCGGGTCAGTAATTTCATATGGTTTTGTATTTTTATTTTCCAAATGCCATTTGTCAAATCTAATATGCTCTTCTAATAAATATCCTTTCTTACAAAGAGCTTTATTTTTTCATCCAAATGATTTAAAACCTCTTATATAAAGAAGAGTGTGTATTGCTACATTGTGTTAGTGAAAACTTGGAAACAATCTAAATGTTCATCAATGGGGTATCTATTATGTAAATTTTGATCCGTTTTTATAATGGAATACTGTGCAGTTCTTAATGACATGGAGCTAGATGCATTGATAGGAAAAGATGTTTGTGATATTGGGTTACACAACTGTATAGTGAGGTTCATTTTTTATGAATTTCAAATATGTGACAAAGTAAGTTCAGAAAAAAGTCTATGAGGAATTGTTGTCAAACCATTTTTTTTTTTAGCTGGAGTCTTGCTCTGTTGCCCAGGCTGGAGTGCAGTAGGGCGATCTCAGCTCACCGCAACCTCTGCCTCCCGGGTTCAAGTGATTCTCCTGCCCCAGCCTCCTGAGTAGCTGGGACTACAGGCATGTGCCACCACACTTGGCTGATTTTTTGTGTTGTTAGTAGCAATGGGGTTTCACCATTGTTAGCCAGGATGGTCTTGATCTCCTGACTTGGTGATCCGCCCACCTCGGCCTTCCAACGTGCTGGGATTACAGGCATGAGCCACTGCACCCAGCTGGAAATTTTTATCCTCTTAATCACTTATATTTGTATTGACCTGAAGCATTTGGGCTTTTTCAATGAGCATGCTTTTTTTTTTTTTTTTTTTTTTTGTCTAGAGTTAAAGTTCCTGTAAAATTAAACACCAATACAAAGAAAAAGATCACTAGAGGCAGCAGATACTATGATCATCTTTAAACTGAATTCACTGCTCCCCAGATTGAGCCAAATTTGGAAAACCTGAAAAAACATATTTCGGAGTAGCCGGTTGTTCCCAGCCATATTCTGTTTACGAATTTGAAGTATTGATACGTTGCAGCAACTCGGATGAATCTCAGAAGCTTTCTACTGACCGAAACAAGCCAGTCTCAAAAGGTTACATACTACTTCAGACGGAATTCACGGGACATTCTCAGCATGACTAAACTGTGAAGACAGAGACACTTATCAGTGATTACCAGGGTCTGGGAGAAGGGCAGCACAGAGGAATTTTTTCAGTGATAGAAAGTTTTTTATCTTGATTGTGGTGGTGGTAAACATGAGATTAATGTGTTAAAATTCATAGAACTATAAACAAAATCAATTTTATTGTTTGCTAATTTAAATAATATGTAAAAGCAAAAAAATCAAAGGAATAAGGAACCAATGAATATCCTATGTCTGAACCCAGACAAGAACCTGGCTGTGGCTTCCTGTTTGGCACCATGTGTCTACCCCACTCTATGGGGCTCTCTCTCCTTGGCTAAATCCCAGAGGCAGCCTCACTGTTACTTCTGCTGGGGGCATCAATTCAGTAACTCTAAGGGATTGTCCATGTTCTGTTTAAACGAATCCAGTACCAGGAAGCTCAGCACCTTTCAAAACTTTCTATTGGATTTACATATATTGCCTTCTATGAAGCCTGCAATTTCTGCATCTAACTTCTACCAGCAGAATCTAATTTTGCTCACTGGTATCACACAGAATTAATGCAGCTCTAGAGACTATCAGTGTGTTGCACTCACCTCCCTCTGCTCTCACCCTCTCACTTCTCTGTACTGCTGCTTCTCTCACGTGATTTCTGCACTCACCACTACTCTGGGCTCTCTTGTCTACTGTCTCATTTGTCAGCGTCCCTCTGAAAATGCGTTGGCCGGAGGTGAACATGATTCTCCGTCTGTGGTCTGATAATAGGAAACGGAGCTAGTTGGCCCTCTTGCTAACCCTAACATGGTTTTTCTGTTGATGATGCGCAGGTCACAGGGCCACCTGTAGACGCCGTGTCACTCCGTGGACTCAACGTGCCCACACATGGTCTTTTGCACATGCTGCTGAGACGCCTCATCCTCCCCATTATGTTCAGCAGCAGTAGGTTTTTCGTCTTTATCCCATTCAGTTACATCTTTTTAGGGCCGGCTGAGGTCATTTTGCATCCTGCAGGGGTCTGACGTCTGGCGTACGCACATTTTCCCAGTCTCAGGCTCTGACATGCCAAGTCTTCATCTAAGCCAGTAGGATAATCCCTCTTTCCAGACGACATGAAGAAGGGAGATGCTTGAGTTTCACTCTTGTGCCATCACCTCTGACTCACTGGAACAGCCTGTTCCACGAGAAAATAAATGCCGACATGTCTTAAGCTTTCCCTCTGCCTGTGCCCCTTTCTGGAAAGGTTCCTCTTGTCTTCTGAATGTTGTACCTCTTTGTATGTGACTGTTAATTGTATGCCTTGATGCTATTAGAGTTTGGGTTGCTGGGGCCGGATGGCGCCGCATAAATACAGCTTATCATCCTAATTAGCATCACTGCATACTTAAGCAGATCTGAAACCTGCAGTCTCCTCTGGTGCTTCCTAGGTGTGTAGTTATTATGAAATTACTACACATCTGGCTGTCTTTTTTCCATAATTGCTGCAGTTGAAAGGTGACTACTGGCCTATTCTAGAATGAAAAGGTGTTAATTATGTTAATAATTAGGAATTTGGAAGCAGCTTCCCTTAGTGGGTCCTGGAGGTGTGTGGGCTCTGGAAACTACAGAGAAGGCTGGTAGCCAGGGACAAGGCACCAGAGTATGGGCAGGAGGACATAAGAAGAACTAGAGGCTCTGTAGGAAAAAGTGAGAGAAATCATAAATGACCACAGAGGCAATTTCTCGGCATGATTTAAAAGTGCACTTGATATAATAAGGTAAACTTGAAAGGCCAGGGATTTGGTGTACTTTGCTCCTGAAAGTGCTCTATGGGCTTTCTCTTAACAAGACACCTTCTTCCAGTCGATAGCTCAGGATGTGAGGGTAAATGGAGAAGGTTCTAGATCATCTTTTTTTTCCTCACCTGGAAGCCATCCTTTTTTCCCAACCCTCTTTAAAAAAAAAAATCATTTCACCAGAAGAAATTTTGGTGAAATTCTATGCCTGTCTACGTTATGAAAAGCTTGGAAACAGTAGGGCAGAGAGCATCGCATGTAAGTGCAGTGTTACCAGATACTGACCAGTTTTATATAGTTATTCCTAAGCTGGTTGGCCAGGAGATTGCATTTACTTGATAGTCCTTATGTGAAACATTTGCCACAGTGTCCTAAAGGCCCTGCCCTTAATGGGGTGAGAAGGGAATCTGGCTTCTGAGTCAGGGGTCCCTCTGATTGTCTGGCTAAGGGGGTGTCCCTGCCTTCTGTGTCTTTTACTTTGTCCCTCTGGAAGTGTCATGCGCTATCAAAGAAGACCATTTCTCAATGGCCTTGAAATAGTCAAACCATCTGTCCTAACCAGTCCAGGTAAAGTGAGACAGAGAGAGGAAGAAACCTTTAGACGCACCTTAAAGCTTATGTAAAATGTACTTCACGCATGACTGCCAAAAACACATTTCATGCAGCATTTTCTTTTATTCAGAAATCCCCAGCCTTCCATCTTGCAACCGTCAGCTTCTTTCCCTCAAGTCTGCCTTCAACCTGTTACTTTTCTTCTTACTGTTAACAGAGGCGGTAGCATATGTTATTACTCTACTATGCATCTGTTCGTGTGTGTGTGTGTTTATTTATATACATGCGTGTAAATATAACTTTCTTTAACTTAAGGTTAGTACATTTTTTCAGCAAATGTAGGGTAATCTAGTTAAAGAGAACTGGGAATTGTAGCAGGCAGGCATTTCAATCAAAGATTCTAAATTGTACTTCGGTTAATAATGAAATCCTTGCAGGAATTAGCTGCAAACTTGTATTTAAGAATCGAATTTGAAGAGTTGTCTGTATTGATTTGTGAGGTATAATGGTGCTACTCGTGATTGGAATGCTGTGAATTTGCTTCCTGCTGAGAGAATGAGAGAGATCAGAGCAGTCTGTTCTCTGGGAGCCCCCATCCATGCTCATGCTGTGCTAAAGCCAATAGTCCCAGCCCGTGGGGGTCCAGGAGCCCAATCATTGTGTAGAGTGATTTTTGCTGGGATGTGATATAGACCTGATTTGATTTTATCATACACAGAACCCATTACTTAGCTATTTGTTTACACATGCATTCATATACACATACTTTATTTATATATAGCTATTACATGTTTTATATACAAAATAAGATCCATCCTTTTATTTAAAATACCTTCTTCAGTGTCATAAGCTTTTCTCCTCACATGCAATTTCAGTCTCTTTGAAACCATTTTCACCAAAACAGTAATATATATTCTAGAATTTACTGAATGGATAAGTATTTGCATCAAAAGTATGTGTTTATCACATCGCAGCATGAAATCTGCTTTCCTTTTGATAACTGGAGTTCAACTCTGATCTTTCTTTTAGGAGCCCAGTGAAGAATTTGTATTTAGGTTTTGAAAAGCCTTTCTGTCTCCAGTTTATCTCTATCTCATTTTAATTCTTCAAACTCCCTGGATCCCCCCACCTCCCGGGTTTCTTTTCTGAGTGACCAAGCTCTGATATTGCCTTTTTCTTGGAAAAGGGGTGGTTTTCTTGGTAATTCCTGGGAGAATATTGCCATTATACCTATCTTTTGGTCACTAGGGACTACGTGTATGATGTCAAGCTGTACTTTAATGAAAAACATATCATTTAAACCATCAGAAAATTGTAGGTTACACTGAAGAACTCAGGGACATTCTCACCACTTAACAAGCCCTACTGGTCCTCCCCGTCTCCCTGCTGGTGTAGATGATCTCATTTGGCTGGGTAGTTACCTTCTTCGGAAAGAGGGTCAGTTGTTTTTCCTCTCGTGGTACCTGTTTTTCCGACTTAATGTGTTAGCCTACTTCCTCCACTCAAGAGTGAAAGGTGCATAATTTATCATGAGGCACTGGCTGGAAAACAAGAACACCAAAGGAGGCTCTCCTAAGACCACAGCACACGAGATGAAGGAGGAAAATGCTGTCATACTGCCTTTGATGAAAGGAGAGAAACATCTGGCAGGTGGAGGCCCAGAGAGAGAAGGTGACCTTCCACTCAAACCTTTGCTTTTGTTTATGTTGTTCCCCCATCCTGCTTTCCACTTGTTCAAACCCCTCCATCCCTCACGGCCCACAGCCACTTCCATCTACCCTCTGAATAGCTGAGCCAGCCCCTCCCCTTCTCAGCACTCCGAGTGCTTGCTCCTCTAATTGGCAGTGAACCTCTCTACCTGATGGTGGTTTTATCTGATTCTTGAGCTTTTATTAACTTTCCATATTTTCTCTTCCAGGCAAAATAAGGCATGGATCCTTTGTCTAGCTCTGTGCCTTTATATAGTTCTGCGCATGGAGTGTATAGGCCTTTGTGTACACAGAGTACACGTACCTTTGTATAGTTCTGTGCACAGAGTAGACACTCAAAAATGCAGTGAATTGGATAAAAGGTCTCATGAAGGAAGCAGGTGTTCAGCGGTCCCCTTCAGTCAGACTAGCTTTCTTACTTGCAGACAACTGAGTAGTAGCCTCTGTGCAGTAGGGGTATAGTGACACAACTAGATGTCTCCTTCCCGGGAGCAGGGCCTGCATCTTCTTTATGTCCCTGTGGGTCCTGAGCACAGGCTGGGCACACCAGAGTCTCTGAACCTGCTCAGTGAATTGAAAGGAAGAGAATGGGCTGCCTTCTTGATGCTAAGGCCCCAGCTGAAGTAACCATGACCTTAGAACCCTGAGCTTGGGCTGACCTGGCTTCCTGCTGGGCTCAGCCTGCAGTGACAGTTATAATCTCTTAAAGTGAAATAACAGGAGTGCTGCTGGATCTTGAAAAAGCTCAAGATAACCAGGTGCAAACTTTGCCACCTTCTTAGGTGATAAACCCAGGAAAGTAACTGATCTATGCCATCCACAAAAAAGGGGAAACATTTCAAATCTATTTATTTTTCTATATATTTTCTAAATCCGAAAGTCTCTATACTTCGGTGCTTCTGAGTTGCAGTTTTTGCTTGTTACTTTTTGCTGACTCAATTAAAAACACCCTTAAAGGGGTTCATGCAGCCCCTTGACTATGTCTGCTTTTGCTCCAGCTGCAAGTGCTCGTAGGAGTGAGATTTGGACAGGACACTGGGAGGATGTGGGGGCAGAAGGCAAAGCTACGTGCATGGGTGTAGGTTTCCTGGATCAGCTCCTGGCCAGCTGGTGAAGAATTTGCTTTCTATGGTTTAGTAGTACTGAGATCAATGAAGATCTTTAGTCAGTTACACCCTGATTAGCAAAAATGTTCATTTCTCTGTATAGCTAAATGTAAAGTTTTTCTTACTAGACAGAAGTGCCATGCGTCTGTTTTTCGGGGTTTTGGTGTGTGTCTTTGTGTGTGTTACTGTTGTTCAGGAAGGGGTTGGGATTTAATTTATTTTTTCCCTCTCCAATATCCACTCCCATTCCCCCATCCCCACTCTAGTGAATTTAATATATGTCCTTGAATATGCAGCTGACATTTGTGGGTGTGGCAACATGAAAGGAGTTTAAAAGCATACACACACGCGTGTGCGCGCACACACACACACACACACGGCTATTATATATACTCACAGAGCCCTGCTTAAGAACTTTCCCTAATCCCTAGTCATAAAGATAACCTTCTACAATATGCCTTGTTCTCACCAGAATTTTCGGAATGTCATCCTGTAAATCTTTGGCACACATTTATTTCTGGTTTTGTTTGAGTGAAGCAAAACTCCTGGATATAGTTTAATATGTTTGAGATGTAGTCTAGCAATCAGTATCTGCTGAACATTAAATAACTTGGAAAGAAATAAGCATTCATTAATTCTTATTCCATTGGCTCTCAAACATTAGTGTTGGTGGGAATTACCAGCGATCTTTGAAGAAATGTCCATTGTTGGTCCCTGGTGAGATTCTGGTTGGTTACGAATGGGGCTCAGTCACCTGCTTTTTATCCAGTTCAGGTGGTCTGCAGTCAGTACTTTGAGAGATACTATCTTATGTGGGTCAAATTGTTAGCAGTGGCGAATCCACACGGGTCTGCAGCAACCTCAGTTCTTGCCTCTTCAGAAGAATTGGTCTGAGGGGCATAAGGCAGAAGAAGAGACTGGGGCAAGTTTTAGAGCAGGAGTGAAAGTTTATTAAAAAGTTTTAAAGGCCAGGCGCTGTGGCACATGCCTGTAATCCCAGCCCTTTGGGAAGCTGAGGCAGGTGGATTGCTTGAGTCCAGGAGTTCCAGAGCAGCCTGGTCAACATGGCGAAACCTCATCTCTGCTAAAAATACAAAAAGTAGTATGGCGTGGTGGTGCACACCTGTAGTTCCAGCTACTCAGGAGGCAGAGGCATGAGAATCGCTTGAACCCGGGAGGTGGAGGTTGCCCTGGCTGAGATCACGCCACTGCAGTCCAGCCTGGGCACACAGCGAGACTCTGCCTCAAAATAAGTAAAAGTTTTAAAGCAGGAATAAAAGGAAGAAAGTATACTGGTGAGGCCGGAGCGGCTGCAAACAAACCTCGAACACCCAACTGGGAAGGAAGTGGCCGTTGCATTTGGCCCGGAGTCTGGGCAGACGTGCGTCCCAAGAACTGAGCCCCACGACTGGAGAATCCTGCCGCGTTTAAAGGCTCTCGCTCTTAGAGGGTGCACGTGAGAGGGTCGTGGTCCATGAGGTAAGGCTTGCGCGCGGGTGCAGTCGTGACTCCCGGTGGATGCAATGTGAGCAGAGCCTCCGGGAAAGACGCCGCCATACCTGCCTGTGATCTGCACACAGGATCGGGGCTGCAGGGGTTGATCTTGCTCCCCCAGGTCTGCGAGTGGCACTGGGTCTGTCCCCTCCACTGCCCTTGTCCCTTCTGTGTTCAACGTTTACTTCTAGAAGGCTAAGGGCAAGTGGTCTTAGAAGCGCAAGAGGGAGAGGTGTCCTTCCTCACCGGGGAAGGGCCAAGGGGACGACCTGAGAGACTCCGGCGTGTGGTTTGACTTCTCACGTGAGCTCTTACAGGCCGGCACCTTTGGGCGTCGGCGTCGCCTCTCCCCTGTTCTTCCCCCGGGGTGGGCCGTCCGCATGTGCAGTGGGCCATCCGCATGTGCAGTGGGCCGTCCGCATGTGCAGTGGGCCGTCCGCATGCGCAGTGGGCCGTCCACATGCCAGGGGCTTGTCCGCATGCGCAGTGGGCCGTCCGCATGCGCAGTGGGCCTTCCGCATGTGCGGGGGCTTGTCCACATGCGCAGTGGGCCGTCCGCATGTGCAGTGGGCCGTCCGCATGCGCAGGGGCTTGTCCACATGCGCAGTGGCCTGCCGGCGCTTGGGCAGAGCCATGCCCCGTGTTTGCCGAAGTGGTGCGCATGCTCACTGGAGGTGTTTCCCCTAGCAGGCAAGTGTTCCGGGAGAACGGTCAGACATGCCTTAAGCGCCACCCTTTTGCCTCTGAGTGCACTTGCTTGAGCCCACTCGCCCAGTTTTTGAGGTGCTCTCAGGAAGCTGCTCATCACCAGTGTCAGGTGTTTTATCTGTCGGGAGGCTGCCCGCCTTTCCTGGCTCTGGCTGAAAGCAGTGATTGTTTTAGAGACAGCTGACAACCACCTGACCATCACCTCATGGTCACCTCCCATTCCTGGGTGGTGGTGGGGGAGGTCTCCCGCCCTGCTCATGTCTGACTACCTACTGTAACCCAGTCATAGCAGATGCATCACTTCAAAGGACACCATCCACAACAACACAAATAAGGGACTTCGAGCAGAGCGAATGCCGCGGAACCTGCGGCACCAACGCAGCCACTGGGTACTGTAGTCATTGCAGCCGGGATGTGCGAAGCAGGGTTTCTACACCGAAGAGTTGTTGAATATTTTATAGCCCTAGCTCTTTTCACAATGCAGAGTTTCCAACAGGCACTGATTCTTCTAAGGACTAGAACCTATTACCACCTTAATTAACACCTCTCCTCCTCCTCTTTTAAAGGAGCCCCCTGGGGTTCTCAATAGAAATGTGAGATATTGGGAGGAAGCACCTTCCCAGGGTGTAAGTTTGTCTCATTATAAATGGAAAAAATAAACCAGAGAGGCCTGGCAGTTAAGATCCATGGATAGTTTCCAGGCTTAAAAAACAAAAGGCAGTAAGATATCACTGCATTAAATTACTGCATCTTAAAACTTGTTCCAGAGCAGCCTAGATGGCTTTTTTGTTTATTTTTATATTATATTTTATTTTTTTGAGACAGTCTCACCCTGTCGCCCAGGCTGGAGTGCAGTGGCCTGATCTTGGCTCACTGCAACCTCCACCTCCCAGGTTCAAGCGATTCTCTCGCCTCAGCCTCCCGAGTAGCTGGGATTACAGGTGTGTACCACCATGCCAGGATAATTTTTGTATTTTTAGCAGAGACAGCGTTTTATCATGTTGGCCAGGCTGGTCTCTAACTCTTGACCTCAAATATTCCGCCCACCTTGGTGTCCCAAACTTCTGGAATTACAGGCATGAGCTATCACGCCCAGCCCTAGGTGGCTTATTTAAAGGTTAGGTCTCTCGGGATCACTTTAGAAGAATATTCAAAACTGAGAAGGATTCTCGTCCGGGACAGTGGCAAGAAGAAGTTGTGTTCTGGGGCCAGGCTAGTTCAGTGGCTTCCTCAGTTCCATGGAAACGGAAGGAATTTATGCTAGAGTTACTAGACTCTCTGGGATGCATCCACTCTCCTTGTTATTGAAAAATATTTATGATCTTGCAACAGTTGACTTGTTTTATCACATTTGTCATCACTATCAAGGTAATAATTGTGACATCCCTGCATTATACAGCATGGTTTACACAGGACTTTCCCCTAGAATATCTCATAACTGTAGTGGTTGCCCCTTGTTGAGTGCTCAGGAAGAGATGAGTGCTGCATACACACCCTACCTTTCATGCTCCTGAGAACGAACAGAAGCCCAAAGCCACTAGAAGAGTTCCCTTTAAGTTACATAACCAGTAAACAGCAGAGCTAGAATCAGAATTCAGGCGGCAGATTCTCCAATCATGTGTAGCATATACCATAATTTGAAGAAAACACAAGTGTATAAACATATTTCAAATACAACATTTTTATCATTACTAAGCTTTAAGTTATGAGAAGTTGTGCATGAAGAAACTGTGGAATCAATAGTGGCTGATTTTACTATTGGTAGAACAGTGATTAGGCTTGGGTTCTCCATTTATTAATTCACTGACTCTGGCCACACCATTTATTCATTTAATGTTTCTGGGAGCGTTATTTAACCTCTCTGAATCTCCATTTCCAGCTCTATAAATTGGACACAATGGTAATACCTATCTCATGTAGTTCTTATGAGGATTACATGACATTAATACATAAAGTATTTAGAAAAGTATCAGGCACATGGTCAACATCAAGTAAATGTTAGATGTTTAAAAAATGAATATGATAGCCTTTGCTTTGCCGGGTTAGACATGATGGCATCCTGCTTTGCCCATGTCCCAAGATGTGTCTAGCATAGTAAAACAATTCATGTGAAGGCTTCTTCTTACTTAATAAAAACTAGATTTTCAGAGTCACAGGCTTACAGGTTCTCCCTTTTGAAATTGACAGTACTTAAACACTTGGCTAATTCTTGATGAATTATGATAATCAGATAATCATGCACATATGAAGAGTTCTTTTAGCCTTTTTGAGCCATTGAGAAGTCAGTAGAAACAAGGCATCTTAACAGCTCTTGGGATGGAGACCATCTTGTTTGAAGGATGTAAATTGAAGTATATATAAGTTAAAGAGTTTAAATCACAAGTACTTCATGGTACTAGTTCGTAGTGTCCCACACGAAGATGCCCAGGTGCACCTGGCAGAATAATGCAGCTTTTAAGTACATTCCAAAGGTTGCCACAGCCTCCACACTGCCACTTAAATGTCTTGTACTACCTTTAATATTACATGTAAGTAAAATAAAGACCCTATTTTTAGAAGTCATGCGAGAAATACCCAAACTCATTTTCATAGACCTGTGACAGCTAATCATATCTTTTCAGACCCAGTTTTTTATTCCCCCAAGTTCACCGCAATATCCTCAGTGTTACTGATTCTTCCATATCATTGTTCTTTTTAAAACCAAGTTAACATAACACTGGAAGTAGATTTGAGTTTCTGGATGAATCTGTCATCTTTTACAGGTTATAAAGGGGCACCACTGATTAAGCCCTCTTCATTCCAAATACAGCTGTTTTCTTTGCAAGCCATGCTTGGATACAGAATATTGATCAACCACGTCCAAGCTGTTTTTCTAGATTTGCTCTGACCTCACAGTCCACACTGCTGTCACTCCAGGATGACTCAGGTGGCCTGGCTGACCTGCTCCTCAGGCTTTCCCTCAGGACACACCACAAGCACTGGACCCTCTGCAGAGCGCTCTAACTATAGAGAAGATTCTCATTAAAATATTTTTAGCGTAATGGCAGGTACAATCCCAAACACAAATCCTTTTTTTGTGACATTTCTTCCAAATCTTTATTTTGACTCTCAGTACTAATTAAGCTTCACGTATACTTAAGAAAACTAAAGTTTTGAACCAAAAACGAGATATAACTGTGCCTACTTACTGAATTTAAAACCAAATCGAATTACATATTTTTACTAAAATATGCAAAAAATCATCTTTAAAATCAAACCTAACAACCCACTTCAAACCAATGTAGACTTCTTAAAGTTAAAATACCAAGTTTATCCAACAAATCAGTTATTTTTTTTTTGAGACTCTAATTTTCGAAAATATCTTCCTAATTCTCTCTGCCAAAGAAAATCCCATCTATTACTGTTTATTTCTCACAACATTCATGGAATGGAAGAACTGAAGAAAGTCATTTTTTTATCTTTCTTTCTTTTTTTTTTACTTATGAGTTTACCCATTAGGATTTTCTCAAGAGGTAAGATGAGGTGAGAGCAACTTTTGCCTTTAAATTCATTAATAATTTACCTTAACCCCTGAGACAACAGTGCTAGCTACGCCGATTAGTTTAAAGGGTCAATGAAATGGCACTAGCAGGAGCAGGGAGGTCAAGTGACTAATTCCCTGCAGCGTCTGTGACTTAACAGTAAGAAGATATAAAAGGAGAAGAATTGGCAGCAACTTTCCAAGCCTCAGGCCCAGAAAGTAAATCTTTCTTGACTGTAATCACTGGAAGGTATTCTGGGGTGGCAGAGCCTCAGTCTGTGGTTTGGATGGCACGGGGCTGCAGCATAAATCACCTTCTGGAATATTTTGGTAATTTTTTTCTTTCAAAATTGTAATTCTGTCCAGCATCAGCTATTTATCTTGAGTTATTATTATAAGAAAATTAGTGATGTGTTATTCAGAGGGATGTGTTATTTGACCAAGAAAAAAATGATTGTTGCATTTTGGTAAATGGGGGTGTGGGTAGAGGAACACGCATGCCTTTTCCTGTCTGGAACCGTCCTGTTCATCTCCTCTTTCTTCATAGAACTTTAACCCATCCATGTGTTAGATCATTTAGAATTACCAGTAATCAGCTGTGTACAGACGAGAAGGAAAAAAATGAAATGACAGTATTTCAAAATCAGAAGACATGAGTTTGAATTGTTGAAAAAAATAGATGTAGTTGACTATTTTACATCAAAATTTCCAATCATTAAATAGTATGTGTAAGGAGAGTCTTAATGTTTTTAGAAAATACCTAATATATTCAATTAAAATTGCATAGAAAAATATATGAACAAAGAGCAAAAGTCTAGAGGGAAACATTTTAAGATGTTACCTCACTTAATAATGATTTGAGTGTCTGTTACATGGCAGACACTGTTCTAGATGACAGCATACGTGGTGGTGAGCCAAATAAAAGTGCTGCTGGCTGGGTTCGTTGGCGCACACCTGAAATCCCAGCTCCTGGGAGGCTGAGGCAGGAGAGTCACTTGAACCCAGGAGGCGGAGGTTGCAGTGAGCCGAGATCACGACACTGCACTCCAGCCTGGGCGACAAGAGCGAAGCTCCGTCTCAAAAACAAACAAACAAACAGTGCTGCCTTCCTGGAGTTTGCACACCTGAGAGAAGGAAAATATGTCGATTTTTTAAATTTCCAGTTTTGTTTTAGATACAGAGGGTTCATGTGCAGGTTTGTCACGTGGTGAGTATATTGCACCCAGGTAGTAAGCACAGTACCCAGTAGGTCGTTTTTCAGCCTACACCCCTCCCGCCCTTCTAGCAATCCACGGTTCCCATCTCTGTGCCCATGTGTGCTCCGTGTTTCACTCTCACTTATAAGTGGGAACATACGGCATTTGGTTTTCTCTTCCTGCATCAATCTGCTTAGGATTATGGCCTCCAACTTCATCCATTTTGCTGTAAAGAATATGATTTCATTCTCCGTTTTTAAAAAATAACAGCTTTATTGAGATACAATTCACATATCATACCAGTCACCCATTTCAAATGCACAGCTCAGCGGTTTTTAGTGTATTAGCAGTTATGCAACCATCACCAGCTTTTCAATATTTTCTTCACCCCAGAAAGAAACCTCCTACCTATTAGCAGTCACTGCCCATTCCCCTCTCAAGCCCTGGAAACTGCTAGCATTTCTGTCTCTATGGGTTTGTCTATTCCGGATATTTCAAAGGGAATCATACGATATGTGGCCTTTTCTGTCTGACTTGTCTCACTTAGTACAGTGCTTTCAGATTTTACCTATTTTGTAGCATGTGTCAGCGCCTTTTTTTTTTTTTTTTTTTTTTTTGCCAAATAATATTTGATTGTATGGACAAAGCTCACATTTTTTAAATTCATTTATCAGTTGATGGTCATTTGGGCTTTTCCCCCTTTTGCTATTATTAATAATGCTGCCATAAACAGTAGCATATGTGTTTTGTGTACATGTGTTCATTTTTCTTGTGTTCGTACTTCTGAGTGGAATTTCTGGGTCATTTGATAACTCTGTGTTTAACCATCTGGGGAACTCCCAGACTCTTTTCTAAAGCAGCTGACCATTTACAGTCCCACCAGTCGTGTATGAGAGCTCTGATTTCTCGACCTCCTCATCATCCCCAACATTGGTTACTGTTTGTCTTTTTGGTTGCGGCCGTCCTAGTCGGTGGGAAGTGGCATCTCGTCGTGGTTTGGGTGTGCATTGTCCTGATGGCTCACGACACTGGGCCTCTGTCTTTGCATGTGCTTCATGGCCGCTTGTACATCTCCT